GCTGAGCTCATGAGGCTGAAGGACAACACCATTCCAAATGCCATCCTTCTGCCTGGAGATTCCTGCTTTCTTCAGTGTTTAATTGGGATGGGCTGAACGTTTCTAGTGAAAGGAAGGTTTAATGATAGGTCCTCTCACTGGAACCAAAACGCTTCCTCAATGCAGAGTTCTTTGCCTGCTGGTGGATTCTTGCAGCTTGGGGTCAGTGGCTTTGCTCTGGAATAAAACTAAATTTAGAGTAAGTGGCACTTTCTTGTTGAAGAGAACCAGAGCTCCTCAGCACCTTCCCATCTCCCAGCTGGAGCTCTCTAATCAGCAGAGGTCTTGGTGATGAAGCACGTGGATGGCAGCGCGTCCGAGGGCTGTGACTGACCCACATGGACAGCCAGGCTGGCCAGGCTCTGCCCCCCGGTTTGTCACGTGCTGCTTTACATAACGGCTGGAATCCAGGACATGAATCCTCCTCTTTCTCCTCAAGCAAGTTTCAGATCCAGCCAGATGTCCTGTGCCCTCCAGCAGCTACCTGCTCCTTCAAGAAGCTCAGCTCAGTATGATCCACCCCCTCCCCATGTCATAGAGCCATGGAATGGTTTGTGTTGGAGGCACTTTAAAGATCATCCAGTCCCACCCCTGCATGGGCAGGGACACCTCCCACCAGCCCAGGCTGCTCCAAGCCCCATCCAACCTGCCCTTCAACACTGCCAGGGATGGGGCAGCCACAGCTTCCCTGGGCAACCTGGGCCAGGCTCTCACCACCCTCACACCAAAGAATTTCCTCCTCATGTCTCACCTCAATCTCCCTCTCCCAGTTTTCATCCATCCCCCTCATCCCATCCCTCCCTGCCCTTGTCCCAAGCCCCTCCCCAGCTTTCCTGGAGCCCCTTCAGGCACTGGAAGCTGCTCTAAGGTCGCCCTGGAGCCTTCTCTTCTCCAGGCTGAACCCCCCAACTCTCCCAGCCTGGCTCCAGAGCAGAGCTGCTCCAGCCCTCCCAGCATCTCCGCGGCCTCCTCTGGCCTCTCTCCAACAGCTCCGTGTCCTTCTTGTGTTGGGGACCCCAGAGCTGTTCCCAGCCCTGCAGGGGGTCTCAGCAGAGCAGAGCAGAGGGGACAATCCCCTCCCTGGCCCTGCTGGTCACGCTGCTGGTGACACAGCCCAGGACACGGGGGGGTTCTGGGCTCCAGCACACGGTGCTGGGCCATGTTGAGCTTCTCATCATCCACCACCCCCAAGCCCTTCTTCTCAGGGCTGCTCTCCATCCATTCTCCCTCACTCCATGTCTCTCTCTTCACACCTGACCAGATGGATTGGAACTGACCACAGGTCTGTGCTCTGCACGTTCAAAACACCCTGATCAATATCTGATCAACACCTCAAGAGACTTGATGAGCTGGCAAGGTAGCAACTCACCTGGAAGTAAAGATTCCATGTCCCCTCTCATTTAAACGAGAAAGGTCTCTGTCAGTAACCACTGATGAATAAACGTTGACAGTATCTGAAAAAGGGCAGTTCCTGCTTTTATTCCAATGTACTTTGCAAACAGTATTTAATTAGTTTCAAATTTACTCTGGATTTTACTCACAGCAAAGGCTTTGGCCCTAATGTTTCCAGTGAGTGAAAATTAATCCCTTCTTTGACTCCTTTGGGTTTTCTCTTCTTTTTAATTGACAAATAATGTCACATCAGCTCCCAGCACGCAGGGTGGTGGTGCTGGGTGCCCAAGCAGAGCAGTTGCTGTGGCAGCTCTGGCTCCTCTCACTGCTGCCAAGGCTGGTTTATGTGCTGTTTTTGTGCAGCTTTTTGGAGACTCTTGAGGTCAGAGAGACCCTCTGCCTCCCATTGTGACTCCTGCTGGGAAGTGCCCAATGTGGGAGTGTCGAAGCACTGGCTGCACTGGAGGTGGCAGGGAACCCCTCTCTGAAATGGGGTTCAGAGCCACCTACTGCAGCAAATCACTGCCCTGGGGCTCGAACCCACTGGTCTTTCCTCCTGTTAAAAGCCCGTGGTTCCAGCCAGTGCTGCTGGAACCTCCAGTGGCAACGTGGCCATGTAGGTGGTTTGCAGGAGAAGGTGCACAGCATTAGCATGGCCTGGCCCGGTGCCAACCAAGCCTCTGTCTTCCTGAGTTGGAAAAAATTGCTTTGGATAAACTCAGTCAAGTCTGGATTTCCTTGAGCGTGCAGGGTTGGGACCTGGGGATATGCCAGTGATAGGAGAAACATCCAGCCAGGGTCGTTTATCTGCTCTGCAATCCATGCTTCCAGGACCACATGACTCCATCCAGAATGAGGGTATGTTTGGCCTCGATGATCTAAAAGGTCTTTTCTAACCAGAAAGGTGGTTCTGACTCTGTAGGAAGAGGAGCTTTGGTTTGAGCCCTGGGTTGTCGGCGTGCGTGGTTGACACCTGCCAGGTGATATTGTCCTTCATTTGCTTCCCGTGCTTCCCAGCCAAACAAACTGAACTCTTTAAATCTCTCACTTCTAGGCATCCTCCCCATTTTTCATCTGATTCCAAGACTAATACACCCCCTCCCTGATGTTCAAGCAACTGGTGAAGGATGCAGACCCAGGCCTGGAGTGCTGTCTTGCTGACGAGGAGGTAAGACCACCCTCCTTGCTCGGGCTGCCTCGTGACTGCCCAGGGTTGTGTTCATCGTCTCTGCTGTGGCAGCAGCTCTGGTTCAGATGCTCCTCCATGAAGACCCTGGCTCCCTTCCCTGTTCCCTCATCTCCAGGGGAGCTGCTCTCCCCTGGGAATCAAAAGCCTGCTGGTCTTTCCTTTCGCTGCGTGTCTCTGCACTCAGCGTGGGTGAAGCTCTGGGTTTGTTTTGGTGGACTCAGCCTCTGCTCTTCTGCTTTTCCTTTGTCATTTCTTTGTCAGCCTGCAAACTTTGGGGCCATGTGCAGGTTTTATCAACAGCCATTTTCTGGTCAGGTCTGGGGTAGGTGCAGCCTTGCTGCTGTTCCTGGTCTGCAGAACTTGCTGTAATTACACAGAATAGCTCTTGGCTCTCATGTGGGAACCATTTGTCAAGGTCTTTGTTAATTTTAATCCACTTAATATGGGCTTTTTTAATCCTCTCTGGCACTATTTTCTTTCTCACACTGTCATGAAGTCATAAATCAAACGTCCTCCACAGCCCAGCCAGGTTATGTCTGAGCTGTTGTTGCCGTTTTCAATGAAACATTGAATTCCACCAGCAGGGGAATTACATTTATATCCCTTAATTCTGCATTGATTGCATCTCCTCCAGCTTCATTGTTCTGCCTGTGACCAACTCTGCAGTTGGGTGGAAGAAGCTGAATAGCTGCAAATAACTCCTTTACTTCCAAACACCTGGAATTTCTTCCTCCAGGTTAAGAATAAATCACTTTGAAGACCAGAGTGCCAGAGATATGTCCAATCCTGATTTAAGAACCTTTTGTCCAGATGTTACTCTGTAAAAATCTTTATTACTGCTGCATCTTTGACTCAGCAGAGGACTGCAAGATGTCTTATCCCCTCTACTAGAACATCAAACAGTTCTTCCTGGACTCAGGATTTTATTACTCCTGAGAGCTCCAGGTGGGCCTGCAGCCTGGCCAGGTTTCCCTCACTGCAATACTTCACCCTCTTGCCAGATGTGGGTTGTTTGGGGTTTTTTTTTTTGGTGTGTTTTTCATGTTTTTACTGTCAGGATTGCAAATTTCTGTGGATTTGTATCTCATATCTCTTAAAAAAATTCTGACATAGTTTTTTAAACTAGATTTTCTTGCCTCTCTCCCAGAGAACACTAGAAAATATAAACTAAAGTCTTTTCTGGCCCTGAAAGAGATAATTTTTTAGCTTCCCCAAGGGTCTGAACCCAAATCCATGGAACAGTTTAAGCAGCAGGTACGAAGTGGAATGTTCCTTGTTCAGACCCTGCCTCTGGACCTGCAGGGGGACCCTGCTGGGGTCACTCAGCTTCTCCTGCTTTGAATCCCAGATTTTAAGGCCAGTTGCCAGGTTTGGGCTGGGTGGATCATAATCATCATCATTCCTGTCTCCAAACACCTGGCATTGCCCTGTGGACAGAGCTGCTTCTCTCCATGGGCTGTGGTTGAAGCTGGGATCACTAACTCAGGGGTTTTTTTGGCCCTCTCCATGCAGTTAACACCCATCTCACTGTCAGTGGTGGGATGGAACCAGCAGTGCCCATAACATGTCACAGCAGCTTGAGTGTCCATCCTCTGTGTTTTGGAGACTTCAGCCTGAAGTGTAAATATTTTTAAGAACAGTTGAAATACAGAGCAGCTGGGACTTTCTCTTCTGCAGCTTTGGGAGCAGGTTCAGGGTGGGAAATGGCAGTTAACTGCTGGGTTTGGTGTTCTTTTGCAGCAGACTTCTCAAAAGCCTGTGGAGGAGACGTAGGATTTTCAAGCAACAAATCCTGGCAGCTGGAGTGTCCCGATAGCAGGTGATGCTGCAAGGAGGGATGTGCTGGTTGTACAGTTCTAGAGTCTTCTGGCCCTGGTAGAGCCATGGAATGGTTTGGGTTGGAAGGGACCTTAAAGACCATCCAGTCCCACCCCCTGCATGGGCAGGGACACCTCCCAGCAGCCCAGGCTGCTCCAAGCCCCATCCAACCTGCCCTTCAACACTGCCAGGGATGGGGCAGCCACAGCTTCCCTGGGCAACCTGGGCCAGGCTCTCACCACCCTCACAGCAAAGAATTTCCTCCTCATGTCTCACCTCAATCTCCCTCTCCCACTTTTCATCCATCCCCCTCATCCCATCCCTCCCTGCCCTTGTCCCAAGTCCCTCCCCAGCTTTCCTGGAGCCCCTTCAGGCACTGGAAGCTGCTCTAAGGTCTCCCTGGAGCCTTTTCTTCTCCAGGCTGAACACCCCAACTCTCCCAGCCTGGCTCCAACTCTATTGGTTAAATGCAACATTTAGGCTCAAGCTGAAAAACTCATCAGTATTTTCGAGTGTTTGTTTGTTTGATTGTTGGTTTCTTAGGTGAAATCATTTGACCACCATGAGTTGGAGTTTTCTGACCCGTCTGCTAGAGGAGATCCACAACCACTCCACCTTTGTGGGGAAGATCTGGCTGACGGTGCTGATCGTGTTCCGGATCGTCCTGACGGCGGTGGGGGGAGAGTCCATTTACTATGACGAGCAGAGCAAGTTCGTGTGCAACACGGAGCAGCCGGGCTGCGAGAACGTTTGCTACGACGCCTTCGCCCCGCTCTCCCACGTCAGGTTTTGGGTCTTCCAGATCATCCTGGTGGCCACTCCATCCGTCATGTACCTGGGCTACGCCATCCACAAAATCGCCCGGATGGTGGAGCACAGCGAGGCCGACAGAAGGGTCAGAAGCAAAAGCTTTTCCATGCGCTGGAAACAGCACCGTGGCTTGGAGGAGACCGAGGAGGACCACGAGGAGGACCCCATGATGTACCCAGAGGTGGAGCTGGAGAGCGAGAGGGAGAACAAGGAGCAGCAGCCTCCTGCCAAAGCCAAGCACGACGGCAGGCGGCGGATCCGGGAGGATGGGCTGATGAAGATCTATGTCCTGCAGCTGCTGGCCAGGACCACCTTTGAAATTGCCTTCCTGGTGGGTCAGTACCTCCTGTACGGCTTCGAGGTGAGCCCCAGCTTCGTGTGCAGCAGGAAGCCCTGCCCCCACAAAATAGATTGTTTCATTTCAAGGCCAACTGAAAAGACCATTTTCCTGCTGATAATGTACGGGGTGAGCTGCATGTGTTTGCTTTTGAATGTCTGGGAGATGCTCCACTTGGGATTTGGCACAATCCGGGACACGTTGAACAACAAGAGGAAGGAGCTGGAAGATTCTGGTACCTACAACTACCCTTTCACTTGGAACACTCCATCTGCTCCTCCGGGCTACAACATCGCAGTCAAACCAGAACAAATGCAATATACTGAACTGTCCAATGCCAAAATGGCCTACAAACAGAACAAAGCCAACATAGCTCAGGAACAGCAGTATGGAAGCAATGAGGAGAACATTCCTGCCGACCTGGAAAATCTGCAGAGGGAAATTAAAGTGGCTCAGGAGCGCCTGGATCTCGCCATCCAGGCCTACAACAACCAAAACAACCCCAGCAGTTCCAGAGAGAAGAAATCCAAAGCAGGCTCAAACAAAAGCAGTGCCAGCAGCAAGTCAGGGGATGGGAAGAACTCTGTCTGGATTTGATGTTGGTTGAGTTGATGATACCTTGTGTTTTTTCTCCTAGTTTATCATAACCAGCAACCCCTTCAATAATGGCTTCCATGGAGTAAATATTTGACTCTGCTTGTTTTCAGGGATACCTTTGGCTAGTGATTCAGCCTCTCAGAAAAGGTTTATATGCATATTCTAGGATAATAGGACTTTATTCTTCTGTCTTCCAAGTCAGGAGACAAACAGGTATATTTAAATCATTCTCATTGAACGGTTTATGCTGTATGTACAGTATTATAGTACATTTATTATGCACAATTTTTTCTATTTGTACACTGGATCTCTGAGGTTACCTTTTTTTTTATATATATTAAGGAGGAGAAAGCAATGGGTACCTGGTAGCATTTTGCTAGTTTGATGACTTGTGGTCTGCAGTTTGGTCGTTGTTCTCCCTTGTTTTAAACAAGAAACTTTTCCATGCTGCCTTTCCAAAGTGCCTTGAAGGTGTGGACAGCACAGAGGAGCCTCAGGTTCTCCAGGCAGCCCATGGGTGCCAGTCACTGAGCAATGGAAAGACTGGGAAAACATCTGCTCCTGGTGCTTTTGACTCTTGTCTTTTTCTAGAAATGTGCTCCCCATAAAATGGAGGGGTTGGACAAGAGCTGTTCTGGTCCAGGGGGGTTTTTTGGAAAATAGCTTAGAAGAAAAAAGGTACATGGGGGGTTACTTGTGTGCAGAGCAGGAATACCAGGGAGGGCTGTAACCTCCCTGCAAGCATTTTGCTACAGGAGGGAAGAGAGAGTTCAAACCCCTGTCAAACATCCCCCAAAAAAGCCAACAGAAATGCCTGCATTCAGTCATCCCACCTATTGGTGGGACACCCATGGAAATGGATGTGTTTGAGGGCTGTGGTCACATAACACCCTGCTCCCCATGGGCAGGAGGTTCTGCTCATACCTCTGGGATAAGATCTCTGTGTTTTCCAGAGTGATCTGGTGAGATGGAGCCAAGGGGATTGTCTTTCCCTGCATTACACTGAGGAGCAACCTCCCCCCAGGCAGGAGCCAGGAGCTGCCTGCAGAAGTTCTCACAAAGCCCTTCCCAGGATCAGTGATGTTGCCTTACCCAGCCCCCCCTTCCTGCCCCTGGGTCTGAGGAATTCAGTTCAGCCCGAGCAAGATGTAGAACTTCCATTGCTGCTTGGGAGACCAGTCAGATTTTGCATTCTGGGGTTTTGGCATTCTACTGGAATTTATAATTAGACAAAGGAGGATGCAGGATCCACTGCCCTTGGGGGGTGTTATTTTGGCAAGGATTCATGCTGGGGGTGCTGAGAAATGTGTCTGCTTTTTGCTACTATTTGCGATATATTTGGGACCTGGCTCTGCTCTCCTGATTTTGTAGGTCTTGGTGTGTTTTAATGTATTTTTGGGGCCTGTTTCAAGCAGGGTTGTTCTGTTTGGAGGCTGCTTCAGTCCTTAGTGCCCACCTGGCTGGGGAAGGGTTGAGCAGCCCAGCTCTGTGGAGGACACAGGTGACCCCAGCTCATTACCATCCCACAGAGCAGCCAAGCCTGGGCTTTGTTTTAAATTCAGATGAAGGGGATATGAGTTCACACTTGAGGTTTTCCTCTGCCCAAGCACCTGCTGAAAGCTGGTATCCTCCTGAATGACTTTCAGTCTGGTTTTGTCCTGGGACACCAGGCAGTCCAGGTGCAGATCCCAGGCATCCTCAGCTCTTTGTGCCCCAAGCTAGTGAACCCTCTGCAAGAGGAGCTGCTCCAGCTCAACTCCAGCAGAGATGTTTGGAAGCAAACTTGCTTTCAGGCTGTGTGTTCCTCAGCAACTCCAGGAGAGAGAGCAGCAACCTCTGAATTTGATGCAGAAAAGTTGCCAAGTGATGTGACTAAAGAGTCAGTGTAAGTGCCACAGGGAGCACAGAGAGGTCTGTGACAGCTGAGAGGGCTCTGTGGGCAGGGAGGTGGGACTGGCTGCCTGGGGTGAGAGGGAGTTCAGGAACTCCTCTAATTCCATAGGGGCTCAGGGTGTGCAGGGAGGCTGTGCCAGCAGAGCTCTCAGTGCCCTGGAGAAACTGGGTGGAAACACCTTGTCTGAAAGCACCAGGGCAAGACGTGGAGCCTGGAGGTGCAGGCGGCTGCGTGGTCACCATCCTCTCACTGTCCCCCACGCTGGGCTGGTGCTTTTCAGCTCCCCCAAAGGGTGACGTGGGTGACGTTGCTCTTCACCCCTTGGCTCTGGAACAGCCTCTCACCAGCCAAATGGCAGGAAGTGAAAACCCTTCCCCTGCTGCTCTCAGCACAAACTGCAGCAATTCCTCATTCATGGCTGCAGCTCCAGCTGGGTGGTGCCAGCTGTTTCCCCACTGGTTGTGTTTGTCCTTTCCCAGTTCATGCTCCAAACCATTACCCACCAACACTGCCCTCTCAGGTCAGGCCCGTGAGCTTCTCTCCACTCCAGTAAATACCCCCTTTAGTGAGCAGAGTGTACAAAATATTCCAACCCCAGCACTGAATTCATTCCGAAAATGCAAAGTAATGGAGCTGTTCCTATTACTCTTGGTTTGTTCTCATTTTAATGGTGTATAAAGTGCACATTTGCTTTGAAACTGAGTGTTTGTTGTTGGTAGAGGGTGTCTGTTAAAGCTCTAAATGTTCATGTCTGTGACTTGTTTTCAGTTTCAAAGTCTTTGGCTTGACTTTTCCTTATGAAGAAATGATACATGCATTACTTTAAAATGCTCTCTTGCTTTGGCTTGATGCAGGCCATTCCAAAATGAACGTTCAGAAGAGACTTTTGGACAAAAAAACACTGAACATACCTTGGGTTTGTCTTGTCATTCTCTGGTTTTTGGACAAAAAAAAAAATCTATTAAATCCAGTGGATTATTCCAGTCTGAGTGAGGTGGGTTCTTTTTTATTCCAGCAATAGAAGATGCTCTGAGTATGTGAGGGAGAGAGAGATTTCAGTGATTTTTCTCAGAGCCACAGCTTGGATTTTTTATTTATTTGACCTTGTTTAGTGTAATCAAAGAGTTGGTTGGAAACTAACAGTGCCTTTCTGCACGTGGGTTGCTCTTCAGTGAGGAGAACAATTGCATCCAATAAACCTGATTCCCTGAACTTTTGCAAGTCAGCCCTTGTGCCTCTTATGAAAACATGGAAATCTGCATTTGTGCATATGAATGAGCATGTTGATACTGTCCAGTGAACTGTGCAGCATTAGCCTGGCCTAATTTAGCTGTGATTTTGCAAGGAGCAGACGGAGCTGGCTGCCCAGCTCCCCTTCCAGGCTGCAGCTGAATGCCCCTCTGTGTGGCTGTCTCAGGGGCTGCCTTCCCTCAGTGTCCTGAGCTTCCCCCTCCCTGCAGATTTGGCCTCAAAATTGGGAATCTGAGAAGGCTTGGAGGGGTTTGCTGGGTGATGCAGCTGTGAGCAAGCTGGGATTGGGATGGATCCAGGGGGATTGGGGTGGGAAGCAGGTTGTTCAGAGTGAGAAGGAAAAGGCTGCCAAAGGGATGGGCAGTGCAGGGCCTGGGCCCCAGCACCCAGGCTGTGGTGGCAGGGGTGGGTGACAGTGACCCAGGTGGGATCCTGCCATAGTAATAGTGTGTTTGTCCCTGCCAGGACACCTGAGCATCCCACAAGGTCCATGAGATGGGAAATAAAGGGATCAGGGAACAGTCCAGAGGCAGCAACCAGCCCTGTGCCCAGGCAGGACATGGAGAACCTGGGAGCAAGACACAGAACCCAGGAGCAGGACACAGGGAACCTGGGAGCAACTCCAAGGCTGAGGCTTCTGCTGCTCCTCTGCTGCTCTGAAGGACATTTCACCTTGTCCTTCCCTTTGAACGTGGGTCGTGCAGCCAGGACACATGCTCGAGTGTTTTGAGGTGCAGAAACCTTCATTTAACAATTAATTTGCAGCAAGAACCTCTGAAATGCTTCAGGGAATTACATGTCTGAAAAAGAAGGGGACGGTGCAGGATTAGCATGGAATCCCAGACTGGTTTGGGTTGGAAGGGACCTCAAAGCTCATCCAGTCCCACCCCCTGCATGGGCAGGGACACCTCCCACCAGCCCAGGCTGCTCCAAGCCCCATCCAACCTGCCCTTCAACACTGCCAGGGATGGGGCAGCCACAGCTTCTCTGGGTAACCTGTGCCAGGGAAGTCATGGATGCCCCATCCCTGGAAGTGGGACCTTGGAATGTGTTGAATGTGGAATATGTTTTTGGGAGACTCTCTGAGAAGCCATCATGCAGTGCTGTGTGCCATCCTGTGCACAGGAGGGGCCAGGAGCAGGAGACCCCGTGGTGGAAGCCGGGGTGTTTGGCAGCCCCCAGGGTGGTTGGCAGCCCCCAGGGTGGTTGGCAGCCCCCTGGGCTGGGTGCCTCCCTGCAGACCCAGGGTGCTGCCTGGGGGCCCCCTGGGTATTGTGGCCTCCAGCTGCTGCTCTGGGAGGATGCAGCTCCCAGGAGTGCTGGGTCCCATCTGGCAGCCCCATGTGGTGCTCAGGGGCCTCTGGCAGCACCAGCACCTGGAGTGATCCCAGTGATCCCAGCGATCAGGAGCTGGCAGCTCCACCTCAGGTCCCTCCGAGGGAGGAAGGCACCACAAAACGAGCAAAAGCTCTGGCTATTGCCAGGATAAATCAGCTCCTCCCTGTGGGGTGATTTCCCAACTGGAAGCACAGGGCAGGGGTTAACAGTGTCAGCAGTGAGTGCTGTGCCTGTAGCTCAGCTGGGTGTCACTCCATCCTTCTTGTGGCTTGAGTTGTTAATAATTCCAGAAATCTTGAGCTCACCAGCTACAAGGTGACTTCCAAGAGGAGCCTTTCCCAGAGCTGCTCCCAAGGAGTTTGTGCCAATCCTGATTGCCATGATGGGGCTGGGCTGTGTGAGCATGTTGTGCTGCTGCTGTGACAGCCCTGGGACCTGATCCCTTGGCATGGGTGGGATCAGGATCTAACCGTGTCCCTGGGATGATCCCACTTCCCTGCAGCAGCCTGGGAAGGAGCTCAGGGGATCCTGCTCCCCCAGGGCTCCTGCTCTCCTTGGACTTGCCTCTGTGTCAGGGGAGACTTCAAATGTCATTGCTTGGAGAAAGAACAATTTGTTTCCTATAGCCTGAGGTGATATAGGTGATAATAATTCCATGTTGCTGGGGGGGGGTGGTGGGTGTGGGTGAGAAGTGCCCTGG